CAAATCTACTTTCAGAAATTACATTCAGCATTGCAGATTTTTAGCAACAGTATCACATGACCTTCAACTCACAACTAAAAACATGTTTGTAGTGTAAAACTTATGGCTATATAGCCGAAAAACTGAAGGCATCATAAAAATAACATAGCCAAAGTTTCCACACTGAAAGGCGGGACACGCAAATGACAGAAGCATAAAGTTTGTCTACAGAGTGGGTGATGCATGAACTGCACCCCATTAGACTGCAAGGAGATGGAAAGACACCACATCACAACCAAATAATAGATGTGATGGCATTTTGGTTCATCAGTTCTGGTTGATAGAAACCTAGCATGAAGATAAGTATTTTCTGAGATGTGATGCTGTAGAATCTGGTAGTTTCTGATGTTTCACAGGAACATCATGTCTCCACATTTAGGGTAGAAAAGTAAGCCAAGCATGAGGGGGGGGACAGTTCAGATACACAGGACCAGAACCAGGGGGCAGCAAGTACACCAAAAGGAGACAGTCAAATTAAAAAGGAACAGATACACTGAATGCAGATGTAATGGGAAGCGGTTCTCCCTCTCTACATTGGTATCATTCTCTTATATGCTCAGCTTACAGTTCTACCCTAAACTTGACTGTGGCATTTTCCCCTGAAACAACAGTTACAATCTACCAGATCTGCCCCAGAAGACCTCCAAAGTCACTGCTGTGAGAACCTCAGATCTTCCAAACACAGTAATGTAAAAGCTTAACATGTTATCCCCTTCTAGGAAGGATACTGCTTTCTGCCATGCCATAAGGCATGAGGGAGACAACATGAAAAGTGATACATCTGCAGAAATTCACACCTACTTATGTGATTAAAGACCACGATGTAAGATTTGAGGTTTTCACAGTGGTGACTACGAAGAATGCCGTTTTCTTGGATGTAGTGCTGTGTAGATCTTGTGTGAAATGACATTTCTACCATGAAGATGGAGACAATACATTCCTCCGAAACATCAGTTCACACAAGATTTACATGGTACCACATATCAGAACACATCATTTTTCAAAGGATACAATACTCCAATGAGAGGTCAGTATGTATATAGTAAAACACTTAAAGAGTAGTATTAAGTTGTCAATAAACATGTGCATGCCCCACCTCCTCTGCAAGATCCATCCTCAGTAACGTGGCATTCTGGCCTGGGTAACGGCTCAAGATACGATCATGCATAGACTGCCAGATCACAGATTCATCCTCATCTGTGATGAGTGGATAGTGGTGGCCCTCCTTCAATCCGAGGCTGGACACCCCATCAACTACCACCACAACTGCTGCTTCAGCAAAGGAGAAAGGATTTGACACAGATAATCCTGGCCAGTCACTATGCTGAAACATAAGCACTACATAAGATGAACATCAATGGGAAACTTCATTACAGTCTAGTGAGTGGAAGGGAAAGCCAGGATACATTTACTCTACAATGACAGACAGAGAAAGACAGTTCTATTGCCTAACCCATGGCAAAACAGAGTGGCTGGAAAAGAGTAACCATTATAACGTTACTGATGACACATTTCTAGCAAGAATGGTGATTCCCCTTTATTCTCCATAACAATTCTTTATGTAAGATCTTTTTACCCGCTTTGTTTTGTGTACTAAAATAAAACAGAAGATTCTGGTGATTTTGGATTTTCTCATTCGCAGCATTTCTTCCTCCCCCATAACCTTGTGAACACACACTTTGTGTTAAGTCTAAGGGATAGAAAGTTCTGACAGGTTGAAACATTAACTGAAATAAAGAAGTCTGATCACGTCACAAAAAAAAAAAAAACTCCATGGTTTTAGTCCACAAGCAAACTATTCTGACTGAGTGACTGCTGCTTGTCAGCGAAGTCAGTGCCAACTTTAGCAGATAGAGGGAGTCGCGTGGTCAGCACAACGAATCCCCACGGCCGTTCATGTCACAAATGTAATTAATTGATATGCAAAAACAATACACATAATAAGATGGAGAGAATGTGATAAAGTTAAAACATCAAGGGGAAAAACAGCAGCAAATGAAAACTACAGATCAGACAAAATTTGGGGAATATTTGCTACCACTCAGTTCAGAATTCTTTACTCTCTCTTCTTCATTTCCACCAAAATACATAAAGGTTAAAATATACAAAACTATATCTTATCCATTTCTTGTATGAGTGTGTAATTTGGTTTCTCACTCTAAAGCTCAGTATATTTGGTGCCAGTTCTCATCTTATTAATTGAATGTGATGTCATGAGCTCATATAGCTCAGTCAGTATAGCGATGGGCTATGGGCTGGACGACTGGGCTTCAATTTCTGGAAGGGGCAAGACATTTTTCTCCTCTCTGTAACATCCAGACCATCTCTGAGGTCCACTCAGCCTCCTATACAATGCGTAGCAAGGTCCCTTTCCCTGGGGTTAAAGCAATGAGGGCATGAAGCTGAACATTCACCTCCATCTAGTGCTGAGATCAAGAATACTGGAGTTATACCTCAACTCCCCCACACTTCTTCAAGGCATGGTGCTTAATTAATTAAGTACAGGGACAACTTTACCTTTACCTCATGTCATGTTAAAATTTAGCGACAATCTGATTCTAGAAGTAGCATCTGATGAGAGGCACACATAGTTCGGCTCTAGTATTCAAAAGGAGTGAGTCCATGAGACAGAGTGTCACAGTTATTTGAGGGACATGGATGATTATCAGTTGAGGAAAGAACTGATGAGATAAAAGAGAGATGACTGATGGTTGCAACAGTGGATACAAAGAGCTTCCAAGACAGTCTTATGTAAATTGCAAATGGAAGACAAAGAAACTTTTACAAATTAAAAATATAAATTTAAAAATTATACAAAACTGAATTCATTAAAGAAAGTACTGTACTGAAATAATGACAGCTCATAGTTTGACCAAGTTAAAACTCACAACCTGCAAGAAATTACAAACATGTNAGTTAAAAACAAGATGTTTTTGTAGATGGTTATTCAGTGATTTTAAGATTTTATCTGCAACTTCATTATATATATTTGAGATCTTGTGCTTTATAAAAAAGAGTAAGATTTATATGACTCAGTATTTCGATATTCATAAGTGTAACACTAAAAGGAAACAGGATCTGTATATCCAATTATGCAACACTGCTCGTTGTAAAAAAGTATAACATGGGAATAAAAATACAGAACAACTTACCCTCTGAATTAAAAAAATAGCCAATTTTAAGGTTTTTAAAAATTAATTAAAAAGTTATTTATGAAATAACTGCTTTCATTCTGTACAAGAGTGTTTTTAGTAACAGTGATAGACGGTAGTTTGGTATGGGTTAGTTTCGATATGATATGGAAATATGTAGATGGGCTTTGGACTGTTATTTTTACTATGTTTTACATGGCTGACTTCTTGTTTTTTGGTGGTTTAAGTATGTATATGGCTTTATATTGAATTGCTGGGAGTTGTCATCCATGGTTAGTAAGCTACAGCAAGGGGATATTGATCAGAAAGGTATTCTATTGTACATTGTGTTGTATATTGTTTTATACATTTTTTAAAGAGTTGTTGACATGTAGTGTTTGGCTGTTTTCAACTGACTTGTCCAGTTGTGCCTGTATAAGGCCTCTCGTCCACTGGAAGCGGAAAGCTGCGGAAAGTTGCGATGAGGAGTTCGTCCGAACACGCACGGAAACGGACGAACGATCCTAACAGCTTGCATCAGGTTAGAGTGCGTCCATTGGTAGCAGCACTGTTCGTCCGTGAACGCGTGTATACTTGCGAACTGCGAAATATCCAGATTGGTTTGGATTTTTCGGACGAAGAGCTGCGTTCACCACCTACGAACTGATACTGTTCAACCGAGAAATCTGTCGAGTAGTGTTCCTGACATTGCGGACGCCTGTATTGAGACAGGCACTGATAATATTACAACACAAAGTGAATATAATGATGCATTTTCTACTCCAGATTTTCAATCAGATATCGAGAATGATGCACCTGTAAATACGTCTCCGGCACAAAAAGAGCATTTCAAAAGTCCGCTAAAAAGAGGAAAGAAAAGAATTAATTACGATGACAAATTCTTCGAAATAGAATCTAAAAAGTTGAGCTATTTCGAAAAGAGCTCTCAAATGAAGCAGGATAGTGACTATCAATTTCTGATGAGCTTGCCTGAAGAAAGACAGCTGCGATTACGCATGAAATTGATGGATGTTTTACTGCAGGAACAGGAGGATCGAAACAGCAGCGTGATGTCCACGTCAAATGTTTCGCCTCTATCCCTTGAATCGACACGCAGTTCCCATAATAGTTCCCACAGCAATGAATTTGTAACAGACAAGAACAGTGCCGCTGTGTATCATAGTAATTTTGATCCTTTGTAGAAACAACGGTTTGTATGTAATCACTAAGAAGCAAGAATAATATAACATCGATGTAATATTTTGTTTTCTCAAACTCTTATCAAATCCTTAACTTAACGTTACAGCTAGGCGTTCTTCAGGTGAAATAGTTTCTCGGAAGTTACTGTACTTCTTCAACTGATATACTTTGCTTAATGTGTATTCAAATGTATCTTGCTTCATGCGAAAATAACCAAAATACTGTGACTCGTCCTCTTGGGAATCACTCCATATATGAGAAAATTCATCAAACGTTTGTCTTTTTGGTAAAATTCCACTAATCCACTCTTTTCTCCTATTCTGTGCTCGTCACCTAGCCAGTAAAGGAGTATCAAACGCGTACAGATCACATAAATCTTCAGACAGCGCCATGACAGAACGCGAATGGCATCGGCCGAACACGCAGCCAAAGGACGCGCAGTGAACGCACGAATTCGGACGAACAGATTCGCACAGATTCGGCCGAATCCCAGTTCGCAGGTTTCCGCTTCCAATGGACGACTAGCCTAACACTTATGGATCTTATATAAACTATCAGTTATAAATTATCAATATCTATGTCATTTATATATATGTACATATCTAAATCAGTGTGTTGTGGGTTAAATAGAGGGATGACAGGCGACGTGCCACACACAATGAGGTTGAGCGGAGACGGCGTGATAAGATTAACAATTGGATTGTAAAGTTGAGCAAGATCATCCCTGACTGTACAGCCGAAAGTGCCAAAACTGGCCAGGTGGGTGATGCAAGGGTAAGGTTTTAATGAACAATACAAATGTCATTATTAGGCATGTGTCAGGGTTCTTACTTTGGAACCCTGTTAGTGAGCTTGCATATGGTTGTGCTTTCAGTTTACATCAGTGTCGTAGGTACCATGTGATTTATTTTCATGATACTCCATATGAACATAGTGCCATTCAAGGCCTAGATTTTGAACTCCCTAAGCTATAATGCTGCCAATCACAGTGGCTGCGTGGTCTAAGACATGAACTGTCTTGACTCTCTCAAAAGCTGGGATTCTGGGCTTGAATCCCACTCAAGACATCACAGTGGCCATGTGGTGTAAGACATGAACTGTCTTTGCTCTCTCAAAGGGTGGGATCATGGGTTCGAATCCCACTTCAGACACGGATGTCTGTGTTGTGTGTTTAGTCTGTGTTTTTGTGTTGTTCTGTGTGTAGGAAGAGGCCTTGCGATGGGCTGATCCTCCATCCAAGGAGTCCTACCGACTGTGTATAGGATCAAGAAACTGAAAAAGTGGCCAAGGCCCAACAAAGGGCTGTAGATCCATAGTAATAATACTAGAATGCAGATATAGTTGCTGTGTGACTCAGCCACAGCTGAGCTCAACTGAACTTATTTAGATCTTACCTCATTGTATGGTTTGTGCAACATTTTTAGAAAGGAAGTAAATGATGCATATTGTATATACAAATGTTTAGCATCTGTACTATTCTAGTAACCCAGTGAAATATAATATTTTGAAAATACAGTGGAACCTCGCTTAATGAGCACCTCTCAAAATGAGTAATTCACATAAAGAACAAAACAAATTGTAAAAAAATGACTCGCTTAATGAGCGAAATTTCGCATAACGAGTGACGAGAGGGGAAGTCCCGGATTGTGCGCTTGCTTCATCAGTATGTGTTTAGCACTCGTTCCGCTAGCATCTTAGTGTCGCTTGTGATCACACATTTTTCCAAACTCGTGTTCAGACATATTATTTGTGATCTTTTTTTGTGCAAAGTTTAATAATCCTTGCAAAAATGTCCTTGAAGAAAAAGCCGCAAAAAGACAGCCATAAGAGACTAGAAATAACCGTAGAAATGAAACATAAAATAATTGAAAAGCAAGAACGAGGTGTGAGCGTGGATGATGTAGCACGCACATACAATTGGTCTACATCAACAATTTGCACCATTTGGAGTTGCATTGTGTTTCACAGCAGGAAGTTGTGGAGGAGAGTTTCTCAGAGGAGGAGGAGGTAACAGCAAAGCAACAATCTTCTGGTGCAATAAGAGAAATGCTGAAAGCATGGGAAACTGTTGCATCGTACATTGAGAAGCATCACCCTAATAAGGTAGTGGCTATGCGTGCTACAAATTTATTTAATGATAATGCTGTGTCAAAATTTCACCAAATTTTGAAGCGTCAGCAAAAACAAATGTCTCTAGACAGCTTTCTAGTAAAAAAGAATTAGATATGTATCATAAATAATAAACTAATTATTTCGATTTTTTTTCTGCAAATCGAATTCGCATTCCAGGTTGGTTCATTCCGCATAGAGGAAAAGATGAAGATGATTCACGCTCCTTAACAATGTATATATAATTTTCTTTGAATAAACGTTATGCATAAAATTTTTTGAGTATTTTTTTTTTGGCATGGAATGCATTATTGTATTTTACATTAATTTATATGGGAAAAATTTTGCTTAAAGAGAGTTTCGCATTACGAGTAAGATTCTGGAACGACTTATGCTCATTAAGCGAGGTTCCACTGTACGAGTCATTATTTTTTAATTATGTGGGATGTAATATATCATATGCAGGAAATAAATTTAAAAATTGTAAATTTTATCAAACTGTCATTAGTTTCTAGGTATACAAGAATACAAATATATAAGACAGTTGCTAGATGAACATTATCTGATGTAGTGAATCCTGGGCAGTAGGAACTGATTAGAGGAAACTAATACTGGTGAAATGTGTTTTGAAAGGTCTGAGAGGCACCCTTTCACACCGTAAAACTAGTGAAGGAATTATGAGGGAACTTAAAATTCCACAAATAGCAGAATTTTTATGAGCGTTCTTTGGCCAGGACACTGGATATCATTTGTGGTCTTCCTTAGTCCCTCCAAGCAAATGCCAGGATAGTACTTCAGTTGCACCATGACTAGTTGTTCTACCATTTAATTCTATGCAATGTTAGATATTGACAGTGTTATTAAATAATCCACAAAAAACATTTTGATATTTAATATTTTCATTTTCCATAAAAGCTAACACATTTATTCCTTAACCAGTTTTTGGATACATAATTGGAAAAAGTGTAAAAAATATATAATGTTTACCTCGTGAGATACAAGCTGGATAAAACTGTAAATATAAGTGAGTAAGTAATTTTCAACCCTCACTCATAGAGCTGAGCCCATCTTGAGAAGCTGCCAACTGTGCAGCTACACAAGAACTTCCCAGCATTTATGGAATCCGAAGGTTCAATACCATGTTCACAAGAACCCTCCACTGGTCCCTATCCTGAGCCAGATCAGTCCAATCCATACCATCCCATCCTGTCTATCTAAAATCCATTTTAACATTGTCCACCCACCTGTGCTTTGGTCTGCCCAGTGGTCTCTTTCCTTCTGGCTTTCCCACCAATATCCTATATGCATTCCTCTTCTTTGCCATTCATGCTGCATGCCCTTCCCATCTCATCCTCCTTGACTTGATCTTGTAATTATACGTGGAGAAAAGTTATGAAGGTCCTCATCTTGCAGTTTTCTCCAACCTCCTGTCACTTGATCTATCTTTGGTCCAAATATTCTCCTGAACACCCTGTTCTAAACACCCTCATTCTGTGTTCCTCCCTTAATGTCAGAGACCAAGTTTCTCAGTCAGAAATTGAAATACCAATGAAGTGACAGTGGTGTGAGCAGAATGCATTATGTTTCAGAGTAAGGGTGGGATCCTTGCGAAGGCATGTGAATACATTGTGGAACTACGTTCATCGAATCAGCGCCTGGCTGAATGTCTGAAAGACAACGAACGACTAACAATGGACATAGAGATGATTCGACAGCAGAACGAGGAGTTGAAAAGGGACAACTCACTTCTTCGTGCACAGTTGTCACAGCATGGCATCATCCCCCCACCTGATCTTAGCAACCCGACAGTGTCCTAGTACAAAATCTCCAAGGTTACCAGATGGATTTCATGGTGTGACTTTTCTTGAAAGAAATCAAGGGTGTGATTGAATTAACATGTAACCACTTGTTTAATGCAGAAGTTGGTAACAGTGGAGCACCCTCCAGTCCTCAGTGGCCTTGGTGCAGTGAGGAGAAATATACCGGGAATTCTTTGGATTGTTCGAGACTTGCGTTCTATAGGATGATGTTTCACTTGGCCTTATTGTTTGAATGTACGGAGGACATTGATACAAAGAGGTTGTGCATGAAGGAATTGTACAGTGAATTCCTCAGTGAAGGTTTCTTCGGGGTCCAATTTAAACATGAAGTCAAGGATAGTCCAAATGGGGTAAACTTAAAACACTGAGATTATTAACATGAGACCATTTAAATTGAACATAAATGAATCTCATGAGTGATTTTCCTTTATGCTGACTTTTATTTTGCAAGAGACTGGGATCTTGAGAACTTTCTAATGTAATATTCGGTGTAGGATTGCCAACAGATAGAAATGTTCATGTCATTATTGGACATGTATTATCAAGTTCCATCTGTATTATTAATCAGAGCTTTTTAAATTGTTCTGGTACATAATTAAATTAATAGTAAACATTTAACAGAAGGGGTCAGAAGTCGTGCACTGCAGGAGATTTTACCATGGGACTACATTAATATTTCTTTCCAAGTAAGTTATGGATTTAAAATTAACAAAAAAAGAGGTCGGAGTTAATTTTGGTGTGTGGAGAGGTCCAGGCATTTGAAATTGAACAGTCACAATGGAATTTAGTGAACAGCATGAAAGAGGCCACCTGTGGGCATCCTTTGGAAGACGCGACTTTTGCAAGACACTGTGTGTTAAATGTATTGTAATCGCAAATTATTGAAGCAGATATAAATTTTAAGTGAGGTGCTTTTATTTGCAACCTTTTAAATTCTTTAAATAATAATAGTCATAACTGTCATATATGGCTTTTTATTTGTTTTGCGCAACTGTCGTGATTATTGTTACACTTCTCTCTACTTAATAACCAACTGAAATATGTCCCCAAATTTTCTGCAATGAACAAAGTTCTGATTCTTCAGTGGTTTTGAAGAAATAGGAGCAGTTTTATTTTACCAAGGAATCTCACAATGTAGCAGTGCTGGATCCATATTGCAATATCAAATATTTCCCTTTGTATGTTTTATCACTTTGTCAGTATCAGCTGATAGCCGTAATTCAGTCCACTAGTTCTTGCCTGTGGAAACATGCATTTGTGTTAATTTCTGTTGTTTATTTATATTACTACTGGAGCAGTAGATTCAGCATTAACACATTTAAAATTACTTGATGTAAGAAGTGTACAAATTATGCTGATGTGCCCATTGTTGCCAACCTTCAAAGTGATCTGCTGAACAATTGGCCAACATGATGTTGGTATGGGTTGGGTTGTAAACAAGACTAGGTTGTTGACAAACTATGCAATGATTGCGATATATATAGATATATATATATAAATATAAATATAAATGGTTTTTAATATTTATTATTACAATATTGAGAGAGAAGAATTGATACTGTTTATATATTTGTTTGTTCTTCATTGAGTTGGTTGTATAGGGAGAACACCGTAGTGTAGGTGCAAGACACAAAGTTGCATTTCATAATGTTTATGGTAGTTGTGTGTGACCTGTGTGGAAGTTCTGTACATTAACCTTTATTGCCAGAGTATATAAAGGTATAACTGTCTGCAAATATTTCTGTTCAATTTGCATTAGAAGACTTGTTTTGAAGGGGTAGGTGGACGGTGTTTGAGATACAGAAGCTAGTAAAGGAATTCTGGTGTGGGTCTGTGTCACTGCTTTCTTGTTATATGTGGTAATTTGTATATTCAGCCACTAACAATTATGTTTTGTTCTGTGACGCAACAGGACCATACTCTGCACCAATCCACAGTTCACTGTGCTTGGGACTCTGTTATATGAAGCCAAGTGGTGATGCAATTTAATTTAAAGTGCAGGATTGTTGAAAAGGTAAATTTAGATGGTTCACTGTAGAGTGTAGCCCTGCACAATGCAAGGGCTGATATGGCTCACTCTGTTAATCTGATTTAATCACAGTTCGTTGTTTGTTTGCCATGCAGTCAATAGCAGTTGGTGTAGAATGATCACTTCTATTACAGTGAAACCTCCATTGAAGGTTTCTTAGGAGAGCAGCAGATTTGAACATTGAAGTGAGGGAAATAAAAAATGGAGGCAATTTAACACTGAGTTTGCTGATATGGGATCATTGAAATTGAATGTTAATAATTAATTCGCTTAGGGGGGGGGGGGGGGAGTCCAACTGGGTCCACTTGGCACTGTGGCCACTGATTGGCCTATTGTAGCCTGCCCCGGGTGGTTATGATGATGGAGAATTTGGTGGAATGCAGATTGGCAGGGGAAACTGAAGTACTCAGAGAAAACCTGCCTCAGTGCCACTTTGTCCACTACAAATCCCACTTGACCATACCTGGGATTGAACCTGGGACGCCGCGGTGGGAAGCCAGTGGCTAACCGCTTGAGCTATGGTGCGGCCATAAATTGAATGTCAAATGAGAGAAAATCTTAAACTAAGGAATGTGAAAAGTTCTGTGGCACATTGCTGTCATTGTCAACACATCAGAATGCAGTATGATCAATTGATAATCTGTGAACCATCTTAGAAAGGGTGTACCTGGGTTGGATTAGAAGAAAATTGGTTTCTGAATCACAGCAGAAACTCCTGGAGTGTGCTGTAATATTATTGTCTAAATTGGCCATGGTATTAAATACCACTAATTCGGAACAGAAGGCCAGCTAATGTGAGGAGGTAATGCAGTGTATATTTTATCCAGGTAATGTGTACTGTTATGGTGATGAATTTTTGTTATGTGAAATGAACTTAAATTTGTGGGCTATAAAGAAGTAAGTTTGGAGTGACTATTTTAATGTTTTATGCACTATGCTGAATGTTGTATACAGTTTGGAAAGAGTTCATAGCTGGTTTGTTGGGAGACATGGAGTTCCTTTGGTTTACTAGTCATAATCACTACTATGTGAACGGACTGCCAGAGCGGTGATGTCAAATTAAAAATGACTAGCAATCTGTAATGCGTTAAGTATATGTTTCTGAAAATACGAGGGTTGGAACTTTAATAGTGGCAACTATTTATTTACAACTGATACAAAATAGATGCATGTTTCAAAGTTTTACTGTCTTTCAGTGCAGTCACCAGCATTGTGTACAACCTGTTGCCAGCGATATGGAAGTCATAGGATACCTTTAGCAGTGCCTGTTGTGTTGATAGTTCAAATGGAACAGTCTGCTGCCTGAAGAATCTCTGGAACAGTTCTGAAGCAAATGCCATGAAGTGGTTCCTTCATCTTAGGAAACAGGTCGAAGTCATAAGGGCTTAAGTCTGGGGAGTATGATGGATGGTACAGCACTTCCCATCCCCATTGATTGAACAAATCAGGCACAGCTTGCCATTTCTGCATTTCCGGCAAATCATGCGGAACCCATCGTGATGCAGTTTTTCTCATGCCCAGGTGTTCCTTCAGAATGTGAAGCACAGTTTATGTGCTAATCCTGTCTCTCGGGCCAGCTCACAAATTGTATGGCGTTGATCACTCTCCAGTAACATGGAAGGAGCATTCACTGACACTAGGATGACCTGGCTGACGCATGTCTGCCATATTTTGGCGTCCCTCGTTGAAGGCTTTTACCCACCTTGCCACTGTTCTGTAAGGCAATGCAGATTCCCCGCAAGCCTCTTGAAGACCTTATGACACTGTTGTGCTGTACGGCCTCTGGCACAATCAATCTTTATCCAACTCCATTGTTCCTGTTTCAAAAACATCGTGACAACACTACATTTGACCGCCAGCTAACACGAGGCTCTGTTGTTCTTGTCACTGCACATGCGCATGATCTGGGAAGGGAGAGTCCATTTGCTCTGAGGTGAGGCAGGTACGTAACTAATGTGGTATAAGTGACATTATTTGGTTCCATTGCATTGCGTATCTACAGCAGTGTTGCCACTATTAAAGTTCCAACCCTTGTAATTAATTCTGATCTTGATGCTGTATCAAAGTGTGAACTCAGTTTTGGAGACTTTAATGTAAAACTTATTTGGTTTGGATTGTATATTGCAAGGAGGTACGATAATTTAATGAACTTAGATAAACTGTGGGGTGCCCAAAATGTCTGGAGATGTAGGGAAATGACTTATAATTGTTCCGTTTGTTTTCCTTGTTCCACAAAACACTTTTCAGTTTGATGTCTTAAGTTAAAATGAACACATTTTACAGTACATCACACTTATCATGTGTCTGTGTTCAGTAAGATGGTCCAGATTTTTGATTCATGAGCTTGTGATTTAGTGTAACAGAAATATGTAAGGTTAACTAAGGTCTGGATACTTTGACGCTGACTCTACTCCTTGGGTCCATGTTGTTCAGTCTAACCTTTAGGAAACTGTTCATCCAGCTGATAACGAGCATGTTTCATTTTATTTCGCTGTCTCCAGTGTTTTAGTCACTGTAGATAGAAACAAGACATATATAAGCCTGAAGTGGTTGATGTTGAGATTAATGTAAATACAATATTATATTTAAGCATCCTGTTGCACCCTATACGATATATGACACAAACACCATCCCAAGTGCAACAATTTATTGTAGTTCTTTTGTCTTGCCATCTTTTACGCTACATGTTTCGGCCGCAAATGGCCATCATCAGGTGTATACACTTACGTAGCTGTTACACTGCACTTAGTTTAAAATTTAAAACCACGAGTCTTCCCAATTGTTCTTTTCGTCGTTACTAACAGGTTTCGATTTATTAGAATCTACTTTGCTGATATCTGTCTGAATTGTGCATTATCTTTGTTACCTACACTCGTCAGTTTTGATTATTATGAACTGGCGCTTTTAAAATCTTCAGTTCTGATTTAAAAATTCTTTTAAAAATTAAAATTCTCAGGATTACTCGCCCTATGTCTGTAGCGCTGCAGCGGCTACTTCTTGTTTTCAGCACTGTTATTCTGTGTAGGATCCCTGTGTGCGTGCCGCTGCTTATCTTTACTATGTGTGCTAAAGATAATGCACAAATCAGACAGATATCAGCGAAGTAGATTCTAATAAATCGAAACCTGTTAGTAACGATGACAATAACAATTGGGAAGACTCGTGGTTTTAAATTTTAAACTAAGTGCAGTGTAACAGCTACGTAAGTGTATACACCTGATGATGGCCGTTTGCGGCCGAAACATGTAGTGTAGAAGAGGGCAAGACAAAAGAACTACAATAAATTGTTGCACTTGGGACAGTGTTTGTGTCATATATCATAATGTAAATACATTTATCCTAATCTTGGGAATTTCTAGCCTCTTCAGTATGTTAGGAATTTTAGCTGCAAAGTTCTTGCTGTAATATGGGAAGTCTTTCTTTAATGAACTGGGAATTATGAGACAGTTTTGGGTATGACCTAAATGTTGCAAATCACAGTTATAGGGACCCTCACTTATCTCGTCAGTAGCCACCTTAGAAAAAGTGCAAAAAATTCTGAATCTTTTGATGGCTTTCATGTATTATATTATTTGTCTATTTTGTATAGTGTCTTGTAATGATCATCATTGCAGTTAATATGAATTGAAAGATTCTGCTTGCTCTACAGGAGACTGAAACTTGGTTAAGGAATGTACTGATTTGTTCTGATGTCAGAAGTGTGTCGTGTTGCCATATTCAATAATGTGGGTGTGAAGTGCTACAAATAGTTCTCGAAAGAATGCTTAGCAAAAATATGTTCTATACAAAATATACAAAATTGTAAAGGTCTGGTAATTTACAGTTAATCTTGTGCCATGAATTGTCTTCCATACAGAAAACTGTTGCAGCTGCTGTAAACATCATGAAATGCTTGTCTAAATTAAACTTTTAGGTATTTTGATATTGACTTGCACACACTTTACCAAGTTAGAGATTACAATCAGCCTATCAAGTCCATGGAAATGTTATACATATGATTATATTATTATAATATATGCAAATGGTAGATTGACTAGCTGGGTCACCATTGTAATAACTTCTACGAAGTGATAATATTATTTCTCAAACAATGTGATGAGATGCCTAATTTTATCTGGTGTCAGAAGACATTATTTCCTTTGGTTATCTGCATGCCGGTAATAAAATGATTTTGTTGCGTGTTACATAACTTGACAGCTGTATATGTGCACATTGGTGGAGTCCTTTTGCACTTGTGGCCAGTGACTGATGGTTTGGAAAATTGTTTTGCTAAAGGGGCACACTTGAAATGGGTCCAAACAGTTAATAAAATAAGATTATTTTTTTGTTATATTTCAAGCCAAATATTGCACTTGTACTTTGAACAGTTTCTTTCAAGACTAACAATTTGAGAATTTTACTGCTGATGACATTGTCGGCAAGTAAACGGAACTGCATTTGCATTAATTCAGAATTCCTAATTTTCACTGAATAACCCAATCTTTCTACAGTGAAGGCTTTGTTTAATGAATATTTGGGTAAATGGGTTTTCTTGCACTAAATTAAGATTTTCATTAAATTGAGGCTATGGGAAATTAGGCTTACTTCAAGAAACTTACCTGCTTAGAAGAGTTACTGTGCTACAATTATGATGACACAGTTTGTTTACATAAGTAGTTAAAGAAGTTTTTTCCACACAAATAAATTCAGTTGTGTAATCTGTAATATATTAATTTATAAAACAATTATCGACACATGAAGTAATGCCTTGAGAGGATGTGTTGTAAATCAGAAGAAGCATGATGCTACAGGTGATGTGGTTTTGTTGCATGATCAGTGTGAGACATCACACTCAAAACTTTTATGATTGTGCAGTAACAGTTCCCAGCAGAGAGAATGTGAATATTTGTTGGTGTTTTGATCAGAGTTTTACTGAATTGAAGTACAAGTTCTGGAAGGTAACAGATTTCTTACACTAAATGTGGGTTATTTTGCAAATCAAAATTCATCAAATATGGAAAAGTAATAAATTATATATGTATATTGGGTTTTGGCTGCAACCAGAAAACATAGTCACTAAATGCAAGAACACTGAATTGGGATTTCATTATATTTAGCAGTTCAGCAGCCATATTTGAATTTCTATGTAGCCAGAGTTCGCTCTCAGACTTGTTGGGTAGAATCTTTTCTATTTGCTCTTGTAACTGGTCTTAGGGATTCTTACCCTGAGAGTGGATGTAGCTGGAACACTGAAACTAACCTCTGACTGCAGTCTATTGTTGTTGTTCAGTTAGTACGTGGAGATTCACTTCTGTGTCCGCAGAGCCTTCATTGTGTGGTGCTTTTGTTTGTTTCCACAGTTCATGTCCACTTGGTGAAGATTTGAAGACATACACCTACCCCTCATAAGCTCTGAGTTTTCATTCATGAAATTTACTCTATGAAGAAAGCAGTCTTCTGGGATTTGGCACCGTGTATATGTGGTGTTAACCAACGTTTCGGAGGAACGTATCGCCCCCATCTTCAGGGTAGAAGAAAAAGTATAAGAAATCTGCAAGCGACNCTAGTTCGCAAGACCTGGGCTGTAAGGGAAATTGGGGGTTGGGCTGCTGTTAACAATTATCGGGGTTGAGCTAAGTTGTTTGTTTCTTCACACAAGCACACACACATACACACACACAAATATAATAACATACAATTACATGAAAGTATAAAAAATAAATGAACCACAGTGATAATCTGGAAGCCAGGACACTGGTTTGGACCCTGCCCCAGTAAATGTGTATGTTTTTGTGTGTGCACATATTAAGAACAATGGATGTATGAAATAAAATAATCACGATTAAGGAACTGATGTTATTAAATTGAAAGGAGGAGATCTCATTAAGATTGTTCATGTTAGGAAATTTCTTAATTAAATATTATCCTCAAAATTACTGTATTAGTTTTGTGTTGGGGCACTATCACTGGTGCAATAAGACTGCACTGTTGCCAACCTTGTACATAATGTTACATCTTCGGATTTGTGGTGGAGTCCTGGAGGTGCAATAACAGTAGGAGGGAGAAGCCAGTGGAATATTTGTTGTGAATACATGTTTGGTGATTGTTACCATGCATATTGATACTGCAAAATTATGATTTCTGCACTTCTTAAGAACTAAGCAGGTTTAAATGACTGTGATATTAATAAATTGTGTCCAACTTCACTTGACTTTTTTTAGGAGCTATCTAGCTTTGTTGTCCAGCCATAGCCTGCACCATGTTGCAGTTGACAGATGTTACCATCCTCTGGTTGGGTACCACTTCTCTGTGATGCAGTTATTATGATGGACGTAATACACAGGATACATCGCTGCAGTTGCACATGACTGCCAACAAAACAGCATTATTACAAATTATTAAGTTAAAACTTCACTTTTTTTTTTCTAAACTGTTACATGAATATTTTCTGGTATTTTATTAAAAGGTAATGGTAAAGTTGTCTGTCTGTCATCAGATACGCTGGGTGCCTCTGGAACTGGCTGGTCTGGTTGATGTGGAGAAGAAAGAAATAACAACCCCAGTCAGGAACCCAATTCTAATTCTACAGTTGACCTGCATGGTTGAACTGTTGCAGCTCCACCAGTATTTTATACTGTATGACTGACTCCATGGAGCTGAGCCCTTCTTGAGACACCACAAGTCGCGCAGCTAAACAAGAATTTTGTAATATTTTATGGAACCCAAAGGTTCATTCCCATGTTCACAAGACCCCTCCACTAGTCTGTATCCTGAGCCAGATCAATTCAGTCCATACCTCCTCAACCTTTCTTTCTAAGATCCATTTTAATGTTATCCACTCACCTGTGTTGTGGTCTTGCTAGCAGTCTCTTTCCTTCTGGGTTTCCCACCAATATCCTATATGCATTCCTCTTCCCCCCATTTGTGCTACATGCCCTTTTCATCTCATCCTCCTTTACTTGAGCTTTCTACTTGGTGAAGAATACAAGTTATGAAGCTCATCATTACGCAGTCTTCTCCAACCTCCTGTCACTTCATCCCTCTTTGGTCCAGATATTCTCAGCACCCTGTATGATTAATCTGGCTCAGGATAGGTACCAGTGAAGGGCTCTTGTGAACATGGTAATGAACCATCTGGTTCCATAAAATGTGGGAAATTCTTGAGTAGCTGCACAACCAGCTGCTTCTCAAGAAGGGCTTAGCTACATGAAGTTAGTATATAACTGCAGTGAAGTGGTTAAGAATTGCATGATGGTGGGCTTTGTGTTTAGAGTATTATTTTCTTGGATGTAATTTTGTATAGTCTGCCAGTGCACTCATGTTTTAAGGAACATGCTGCTTCTATCTTCATGTTAGAAAAAGGAGTTGAATGTTTAGAAACTTCTTGCCTCATCAGCCATGAAGATAGAGGCAATACATTCCTCCCAAATGTCAGTAAAGTTTTATCATGCTGCATAATGTCACTTCCCAGGGGACAGTACTCATCGTAGCCTCCACTTTGAGTTTGTCAGATCTGTAGGCAGATATTGGTCTTTAATGTTAGAGGAATTTGATTTGGCTTTCTTTCTTGTTGAACTAATGATAAACACATTAACTATGTCACTTCACATAATACTGTCACGTGTTGGATATGTCACGCGACAAATAACTTTACAAAGGTCTCAGATTTAGCGAATCTTTATTGGACATTCACTCTTACACAACGTACAATTATTATCACTTGTAGAGTCACTTGACTTCTGGCTTAATACTTCAATGCGACGTCTCAACTATCCTTGGCCGTGGGTGGATCTCAACTGTCTTCTGTCTGTATCGTATGGTGACTAGGTTCCAACTGTATTCTTGCTGTCTGTAGCTCTTGGACTCAGTAGAGGACAGCCCTCGCCAAGGTTTGATCTCACGTGTTCGGCAATCCGTTGCTTCGGGAATGCTCCTTATACACTGGTAACGAGTTTCGTCTCATCTGTTGTTACCCAGCAGCCTTCTGTTGTTCATCTCTGGGGAAACGCGTGCGTTGTTTCAGCATGGTCTATGCAGCGGCTAGCTGTTATTGCATTACGGTGGAAGTGCCTATTCCAAACATATGACATTGCTCCCTTCTGAAGGTTGTTCATCCCCGAACAGCCTAAAGGTACTTCCTCGGTTTCGTTTCCTAAGGTGTTCATTTTGGCAACGTTTGCATTCGGTCTTGTTGTTCTGCTGGCATCTTCTGTTCATTCTACCGCATCTGCCCCTCTCTTCAGTGGTGCTCGTCCTGAGCACTCCCGTAGTCCAGAATTTGTTGGTCCCATTGTCTCACATTCATTCCTTGAACATTCAGTCTTCATTCACCCTTGCGCGGGAGGTCGGTACTTCTACGTTACCGGTTCGTCCCATACAGGCTGTTTCCTTTCTTCCATTTTGGGGCGGTTGGCCCCTCCACTGACCAATTTTTGATGCCCTGTGATCTGCTGAAAATCTCTGTTTGTTGCCCGATATCAAGCCCTTGGATCTTCCTGAGGGTTCAGCTGTCTGTTCTCTCGTTCCCAGGATGCAGCCGCTGTCTTGTGTATTCGTTCTTCACTCCAAAGCTGCCCTCTGGTTCTACCTGGAGTCTCTGCCCTCTGGGCCCTTGTCTTGCAATGTTGTTCCTAGTCTGGTTGTTCCTGATGATGTGTCCCCTGCACCGTGTCACTGCTGCATGGCGGGACGTGTTTGGCCCTCTGTGGGCGATGACCAATTTCTTCTGGGGTTTTCAACCTTCCCATGTCGAATTTTTTGGTTTCTGGCGGCAGCGCTCCGTGGTCAGTTTTCGGTCCCTATGCCTTTTCTTCTTCGGTTCTCTGACTGGCATTACTTTGGCGTCTTCTTGTTGTGTCCGCTCGGGTTTCGTGTCCACTGAGGTCGGCTCCTCTTCTTCTTCTGGACGTTCCTCCATCTCTTGGCAGGCCAACATCTTGTCGCGGTTGTCGTTCACCCATTTGTCTCTCATGGTGGCCATCTCTTCTTGCCATGCTTTCATATTGGCCTCATGTGTGCTTCTAGCTTCGCATATCCAGCAGGAGTTCCATCATCTGTTGCAACTCCATTTCTCGTGTTTCAAGTTCGATCTTGTCGGTCATGTGTGCAAGTCCAGTCTTTTAAATTTGATCTGATCAATCCGAACTGATCCCACTTCTGATACCAGTTGTCACGTGACAAATAACTTTACGTGGGTCTCAGATTTAGCGAATCTTTATTGGACATTCACTCTTACACACTGTACAATTATTATCACTTGTAGTGTCGCTTTACTTCTGGCTTAATACTTCAATGCGACGTCTCAACTATCCTTGGCTGTGGCTGGATCTCAACTGTCTTGTCTGTATTGTATGGCGACTAGGTTCCAACTGTATTCTTGCTGTCTGTAGCTCTCGGACTCAGTAAAGGACAGCCCTCGCTAAGGTTTGATCTCGCGTGTTCGGCACTCTGTTGCTTCAGAAACGCTCCTTATACACTGGCAGTGAGTTTTGTCTCATCCGTTGTTACCCAACGGCTTGCTGTTATCGCGTTACCATGGAAGTGCCTATTCCAAACATGTGATGATACAATAAATAATGTCATTATTATTTAATATTTTTGTGTTAACAGTATAATCTTAACAGTTGAGAAGTGTCAGCAAACTATAATTAGATAAAATATATATTACTCTTCTTTTTTGGAGCAGCAACTTAAGTAAAGAGAAGTGGTAAGGGAAGATGTGATGGGGCTATCCTGGTAGCATAAAACGAGAACCTTGCAAGCAAGTCTGCATGGTCCTGGCACAGTTTTGAATTGATGTGCTGTGAAACAAATTGGGAAAGATGCATGCAGTGTACCAATTCTGGCATATTTGCTTTCCCTTGTTACCTCTAAGACAAAGTTATGGGAAAAGTATACGGGGCACAAAATGTGTGTGATTTTTTCTCTCCAGCTTTGTTTAAAACTTTCTCCATTTACAGTTATTGACTTTTGCGCATTATCCATCATTTTTATTTAAAGCAGTTTTTCAAAGATTGGGCTGTCTCCATTCTAGGTAAAAAGCCTGCCATAGGTCCAGAGGTAGGGAATAACTCTATTGACTGGGTCCTACAGAACAGTCTTTTTACTGTAGGATAGGGACAGAGTCCAGTCTCTAAAAAGTCATTTTAAATAGAAATTGGGCAAGTTATAATATCCAAAAGGCAGTCATTGATTAATACACCTTTGTCACAAACTTTAGATTGTGTTGAAGAAAGCCTCAAATCTTACATTTAGATTGTGTTGTTTCTCCAGTTCATATATGTATAGTGAATTAACTCAAAATGTGTACAGAAAGGTGTTCTGGTCTTCATATGAATTGTCTGTTGTCACATTTCAGTCAAGACTGGAAATGATTCACACATTTTAGTAAAATTCATGAATATATTAACCTGTTCAGCAGTTCTCAAGTCAGTATTGTTAATGTGTCTGATTTGCATTTTAGTGCGATGAATAAAAGATGTTTTGAGCATGTGTTAATTTGAAAGTACTGATGCACTTACATATTTTAAACATCTTTCACTTAAAGGTCATTTTTGCCATTTTTTTTTTTTGGTTGGCATGGAGTTTCTTTGTTTCTGTTTTGTAGTCTACTCTTTCAATGTTAGTGTCATGTGACAGATGTTGCCAGCCTCTGATTGAGTACCATTCGTTTATGATGTGATCTCAGTAGTGGATATAGCGGACACGATGCATAGTGGTTGTAGCTGCACACTGTCAACATGACATCATATGGGATTGTTTTGAAATTATGTAACACTTTTGAACAACCAGTAGTGAGGCTGCATTGCATGTCACTGGCAACATCTTATGCACTGGGGAACAAAAAACCCACGTTTGTGGAACATGAGTGTGACATTGATTTCACTGATGTGTGGATGGCCAAGCAGGGCCTCATATGCTGAAAGAGGAGAACAGTTTCTTCTGAAACATTCATACCTGTCCAGCAAACTACACATCCTATTAGATGGTAAACATGATTCTGATATTATTTTGGATGTTATAAAATATAATATGTTCTTATGTTTCAAGTACAGTTGTACTTACATGAAAAGGGTATATGTAGAGGATGCTACCAATGGGGTATTGGCTGTAGTCCAGTTTTCCATGAACAGCTTCCACCTTGCCCAGTTCCTGAGTCATATCAACCAACCTGCAATGTACATTTTGTTGTCTTACTTGCAAAGACATACCACCATCTACTAGGGAAATTTGAAGATCAGTTCTGGATAAACCCTGTTATTTTCCTTGTTCTTGTATGTTTGTTAGAATTTGCGTAATCTCAAATGAAATTTTAGAGTGATTGTTTCATTCTCAGTGAAGGCAAGAGATTTTTCTTGTCTCCACAGCATACTGACCAGCCCTGGGCCTGCGCAGCCTCCTGTCCATTAGGCATTGTGGGCCCTTTCCTCATGGAGGAAGTTGCTGGGATGTGAGGTTCACCACTTGCCTCCATATAGTGTTGAGGTAAAGATATGTCAAGCTATATTTTCATTCTCCTGTGTCATCATGGCATGATAATGAAACACAAGGGTCATCTTACCTTTTGCCACATACTAAATTTGATTTATAAACTAGGTGAAAATGGCAACTGGCAATTTTTAGGGCTGCATTTAATCTTAACATACAGACTGTCATTCCTTACTTACTCATGGAACTGAGCCCTTCTGGAGGAGCCGCCAATTCTGCAGCTACTCAAGAATTTCCCAGCATTTTATGGAACCCGAAGGTTCATCACCGTGTTCACAAGAGCCCTCCACTGGTCCCTATCCTGAGCCAGATCTATCCAATCCATACCATCCCATCCTATCTAAGATCCATTCTGATATTGTCCACCCATCTACGCCTTGGTCTTCCCTGTGGTCTCCTTCCTTCTGGCTTTCCCATCAATATTCTATACGCATTGCTCGTCTCCCCATTCGTGCTACATGACCTACCCACCTCATCCTCCTTGACTTGATCATTCTAATTATACTTGGAGAAGAGTACAAGTTCTGAAGCTCCTCATTATGTAGTTTTCTCCAACCTCCTGTCACTTCATCTCTCTTTGGTCCAAATATTCTCCTCAACACCCTGTTCTCAAACACCCTCAGTCTATGTTCCTCCCTTAATGTCAGAGACCAAGTTTCACACCCATACAGAACCACAGGCAAAATTATAGTTTTGTATATTCTAATTTTTATGTTTTTGGACAACTGACAAGACAAAAGGTTCTGGACTGCATGGTAGCAAGCATTATCCGACTTCAGTCGCCTCTTAATTTCCTCCTGAATCAGGTTTCGATCTGTTATCGTTGTTCCCAAATATCTGAACTGTGCCACATTTTCAGAACATCTGTTTCCTATCTTTATATCATGATTTTGCCCTGCATTTTTTGATGAGACAGCAACATATACCTAAGTTTTCTCTGCGTTTACTTCTAGACCAACCTCTTTACTTGTGTCAGTTAAAGTGTGTGTGTTTTTCTTTATGGTATCTACATTATCACCCAGTAGATTCACATCATCGGCGTAGACCAACAGGTGATGTGTCCCATTTAAATTCAGTCCCACCTGGTTTCCCTGGACCTTCCTAATTGCATATTGTAAGGCAAAGTTGAAAAAGAGTGGCGTAAAGCATCTCCTTGTTTTAGACCATGCTGGATAAGAAATTTATCAGACAAATGTTTACCTACACAGACTTGACTATACGTTTCGTTTAAACACATTTTAATCAACCTAACTAGTTTCATGGGTATCCCAAACTCTATTAGAATATTGTACAATACTTCCCT